GGGGGGGGGGGGGGCGCAAGGAGGCGAAGAATTGGACTGGAAAAATGACCATACCTTGTTTTTTCTATGGAACAGGCGTTGTTGTACGACGTGAAGTAGCATTGTAGGAGCTGTTCGGATCACGTCACGACGCTTGTTGTTACGCTCCGGATGTTTTTCTGCAACAGAAAGATGTGTCCTGCACGCCTTGGTTGCTGCGCAAACCTGTCCTACCCCTTGGACCTACCTTTGGTGTGTGCATCGGGTGACAGCACTCTGCACTAAGGGACTGCTGTAGGCTTCCAATGGGGATGGTCCTATATGGGAATCTCGGCAGAGGCCATCTAACCCGGCTTCTCCGTCAATTCGGCCCTTGGGGCGCACTCATATTCCTCACGAGAGAAGCGTAACGGGGGCAACGAAGCCTTGACCTCACTGCCTCTATATATTCTTAGGGGAAGAGACGAGAAGGGACCGCACGCATGCCGAATTGGCATGACACGTAGCAAACGTGTAAAACGCATCCTTCGATCGGCCGGCCGGTGTGGTGCCCCTTCGGGATCGGCGAAAGAAAGCCTCGTTCACGCGCAGAACTGACTGTAGTCAGACCATAGCAAGGCCTTAGTACAGTACTAGGGAATCGTCAAAACCACCGGCGGTTGTTGGACAGATGCCTCCTCAAGTCGAGAACACGCAGCTTTTGCTAACCACAGCTGTGGTGAGCTAACAAAACAGGCCAGGCTCCTGCAGCAGCCTCTCATCTTGTGAGCGTGATGTTGCGTTTGCGTGAATGAGTATATTGCTTGGGGTAGTGGTGCCCGCGCACCGCCAGAATGGGTGCCTCTCCTTGTCGAGTGTGCGGCGGGCGGGGCTGTCCGTCTCACTTGTTCAGCTACCGTTCGTGACATCGCACGAAAAAGATACATCGCCAGAATGCGCATTCGGTTCGCGTCTGTCGTAATTCTAGCCGCAGGACTGACGTCCATACTCAAAAGTCCACAACCACCGCGATCGATACTCAAAAGTGCTGTAGCAAAAGACACACACGCACGCGCGCACACCAACATTTCGACTAAAAAAAAAAACAGTAAGTGATGGCAAGTGTCCTGTCCTTTCTTCCCGACAGAATGTACCACGTTTTACTCGACTTCGCCGTTCACCCTCACAGCATCACGTACAGATACAAGTTCCACGAAGTGCCACCTGACCATCGCTGGCATATGATACTTCCAAAGATGAACATTCACGGTACTTTGATACGACATCACGAGAGCCAGCCACACACTAGAAGCGATTCCGAGCACACACGCTCGAGAGAAAATACATTGAAAAGTCGCGCACACTGCACCACCACAGCGACCATACGGCCAGAAGGACGAGTGCCTACACGCGAGCAACAAGCCAGAACCACCCAACAGACACTCAAGCACAACCCTTATATCATCGCAAAGTGCCAACCCAGACCAAAGGTCCCCGCCAAGTGGCACAAGCCCCCTGGCCGCTTAACGAACGACCGCAAAAATATGAGTTGGTCACCGTTTGCATACAGCACTATAAATTCATTGCCAATGATCTATCACGAACGCTCGTCTGTGGTACAAGAGATGGGTTTGTTGAGTGACAAAAAAAAAAAAACGCCCTCCGGACACAAAAATACTAGGCACAAATTAGCGACGGTCGTCCCGCTCACGGCGGCCTCGATACCGGTCGGCGCTACGGCTACGGCTACGGCTAGGGCTAGGGCTGGAACTCCTCCTGCGGCGCTTCCTGCGGCGGACATCCTCCTCGCTCTCCCGCTCTCGCGACCGGCGCCTGCCCCCGCTTCCTGTCCGATCGCCGCCCTTCCCCTTGTGGCCACTGGCTCCAGCCCTCGACCTGTCACTGCCCCTGCTCTCGCCGCAAGCAAAAAGCCGTAAAGACACACCATTTTTTTTTTTGAGACAATTTTTTTGGCCCCAACGGTGTGTGCCGAGCGGGTCCGACAACGAGCAGGGCAAGCGCGAGGGGGTTGCGGGGGTTGCGGGGGGGGG